TGGGGGTATAGTGAGTGCGATCGAGCGTTATGGATCATCAATTCGTGCTGTGTAAAGCAGCTCTGTTATTTGCAGTTACGCGATGGCTGTTGTCCTTTGCCCTAGATCTATTGACCGCTTCTGTCGGATTCTTCTCATCCGATTCCAACTCCAATTCCAATTCCAATTCGAATCGGTGCTCTTCTTCTTCTTCGGCGGCGGCGGCGAATTTGAGGTTAGTGAGAGAGAGTCTCACACTGACGACGATCGGCGAGATCGAGCACCGGCGGGGGACGGCGGAGTGCGGCGGCGGCGGCGGAGACTCGTCGTGCGCGGTGTGCTTGGACGGGCTGAGGAAGAGCAGCCAGGTGTGGGAGCTGAGCAACTGCTGCCACGTGTTCCACAAGCACTGCCTCGAGAGGTGGCTGGCTTACGACAGCAGGCTGACGTGCCCGCTGTGCCGGGCTTCTCTGATCGCCGTCAGCCCTCTGCCGCCGCCTGCTTCTCCGCCGCCGCCTAGCTGGGCGGTGGAGCGGATGCTTTATTTATTCGGAGATGATCTGCTTCCTTGATTTCACCCCAAACTCACTTTCCCAAATATGTGAATAGACCGAATTTTTTTTTTTTTTTTTTTTTTTTTATAGGTTATTAGATTTTTCTAGGTATATGGATTCAGAAACGGGTCGGGTTTTGCCCATTTTGGCTGACCCGGAAGAAAGTTCAAAATTCATTTTTACGAATTGGTGCATTTGTAATATTGAGCTGAATAATAATAAAACAGCAATTATTTTCCCAATTAAATTAAATTATGAATAATATTGAAATACATTTTTATTGATTATTTTTATTATAGATCCTTTTGTTTTCCCATGTTAAAAAAAGGAAAGCAAAGGAAAAAGCGGGTGGTGTCAAAAGCACGACTTTGTGATAGTGCAAGAACATGACCAAATTCTTTTGACGAATGTAAAAACAATTCAATTAAATTAAATTATATAATTGAAAAAGTAAAAGCCAATTAGCTAAATATAATATATATATATATATATATATATACAAACGAACATGAGATGAATTGCATGTTCTGAAAGAAGAAAGTAAATTTGTTAGGTAGGGATGAGTATTTAATATTTATAATTTATTTTAAAGATTCATGTTTTTTAATGGGCCCCCTTCCAAGATTTGCCATATTATACATCTAGGCCCGGGCCCTAACTTAATTGGGGCTTAAGGCAGCAAAATATTACGGGCCCTTATTATATTTTTATATATAATTTTTTCTTTTTCAAAATTTTATTTTATTTTTTGGGATCTTATTTTCATTTTCTTTTTGAAAAAGTAGTGTGTTCAATTTTTTATTTTTTTATTTAGAAATATAGTAATGTTTGTTTGTATTTTGAGAAGATGTCAAATTACAATGCACAGTCAAAAATGAAAAATCATGTATAACTTATAAGGTGTTTCAAATTCTTCTTTTAAAATATATACAGTGATGCTTGTTTGTATTTTAGTGAAAACTTTTGCTACATTAACACTCAAATCATTTCAGAAAAAAAAATTAACAAAATTTTATTTAGAAAAAAAATAGTGGGAAGATTTCAGAAATCGGGCAAAATATAGGCCAAGAATCTTAGCTATATTTATCAAATTCAAATTTGGAAAAGTAATAAAATATGGCAGAAAAAATAAATGTTATATTTGGAGAGTAAAAGATGCTTAACTTGTGCAAATATACACACATCTTGTATTGAAGGAAAGACTTGGCGCCAAAACCTAAATATTCCTTTCTTCACAAACTGTGTGTTTGTGTGTGTGTTATTATTACAAACATCCTAAGTAGTAGAAGAACGTTTATTCCTTGTCTAATTCGTGCTTAAATTCCTTCCTTTTACTTCCCATAAAGGACAAAACTTTCCTAGCTATCTATTTACCAAAAAATTAAGATGGCACAAATTTTCCACCAATATATTTTTTCTTTTATATTTCAATTGCGCCGCAAAACAAAACATAAAGAACAAGAAAAAGAAAAAAAATGGAGTTGAAGAAGTACTTGTTCGTCTTGGTATTGACCAATGTCTTCTTGTTCGGTGACCGTTTATTCGCCGACGGCCTTGGCTGCAATTGGGGCACACAGGCCACCCACCCCCTCCGCCCCGACATAGTTGTGAAGCTAATGAAAGACAATGGTTTCGATAAGGTCAAACTTTTCGAAGCGGATCCCGGTGCCATGCTCGCGCTCGGTAGGTCCGGTATTCAAGTCATGGTCGGAATTCCGAACGACATGTTAGCATCTTTGGCTAGTAGCGTTCGTGTCGCCGAGGATTGGGTGTCGCATAACGTTTCCTACTATTTGTCCAACAAGGGAGTCGACATTAGGTAAACAAAAATTATTTTAACTCAGCGACAAGGGTATTTTAGTAATTTTCTATGTTTTTTTCTTATTGATTTTCTTATTATGTGCGCAACAACCTATATTAAGCATGTTTCATTATGCCAACCAATTGATCTCTATATGATCATCTCAAATCGGTTTTCAAATTTATTGAGTTCGAGTATTTATTAATTTATTTTCGATTTTTTCCTTTCTCGAATTGATTTGATATGTCTATACCCGAAAATCTTATTTCTTTTCAGGTATGTTGCCGTTGGAAACGAGCCATTCCTCAAGACATACGACGGTCAATTCACGAAGACGACCTTGCCGGCGCTCCAGAACATCCAGGCGGCATTAATCAAGGCCGGCTTGGGCCGCGACGTAAAGGCCACGGTCCCACTAAACGCCGACGTCTACCAATCGGAAACCGGCCTACCCTCGGGCGGAAAATTCCGTTCGGACATCCAAGACCTAATGCTCTCGATCGTCAAATTCATAAGCGACAACGGGGCCCCACTAACCATCAACATCTACCCTTACCTCAGCCTCCACGCGGACCCCAATTTCCCCGTCGACTTCGCCTTCTTCGACGGGGGCGCCACCCCCCTCGTCGACGGTTCCATCACCTACACAAACGTGTTCGACGCGAATTACGACACGCTCATCACCGCATTGGAGAAGAGCGGCTTCCCGTCGATGCCGGTGGTTATTGGCGAAATCGGGTGGCCTACCGACGGAGATGTCAAAGCAAACCCTAATTTCGCCCGCCGATTCAATCAGGGGCTGGTGAACCGAATCAGGCGGGGGGTCGGGACCCCCAAGCGCCCGACTTTGCCGGACGTTTACCTTTTCGGCTTGATCGACGAGGATATGAAGAGCGTCGAGCCGGGGAACTTCGAGAGGCATTGGGGGATTTTCAATTTCGACGGAACCGTCAAGTACCAGCTGGATTTGGGAGGCGGAACCCTAACGGCGGCGAAGGGGGTCCGTTATCTGGAACGGCAGTGGTGCGTGATGAAGCCGGATGCTGACGTGGCGGATCCGAATTTCGGGGGGAGCTTGAACTACGCGTGCACGTACGCCGACTGCACGAGCCTAGGGTACGGCTCGTCCTGCGCGGGGCTCGATTTGAGGGGCAACGCTTCGTACGCGTTCAATGCTTACTACCAGACGATGAATCAGCAGAAGGGCGCGTGTGAGTTCTCTAACCTGGCGGTGATTACGAAGATCGATCCGGGTTTTAAGGACGGTACTTGCAGGTACGAGATTATGATCTACAATGGTGGAACGCCGGCGAATAATCCGGGGACTTCGTCGGCGTCGGCGGATGTGAGTAGTTCTGGTGTTGTTTCCTGGGTAGCTATGCTGATGCTGGCCCTCGTTGCTTATTTCCATTAGCTTCTCTCTCTCTCTCCTTTTTTATTTTATTTATTTAATTTTTTTTAAAACCATTTTTTCCCGTATTGCCCCCCATAGAGATAGGTTATTTACGAACAGATGTAGAAGTCTTATTATGCAGTATATTTTAGTATTTTTTTTATTATTATTTATATTATTGCCGTAGTAGAAATACATTTGTTACACAACATTTAGATGAGGAGATTTGCAATTTCACATATAAAAATAATAAATTTGGGTGTTGGTGAGGTCAAATTAAATAATAAACGGGCTCATGCTTATAATATTATTCAATGTAGGATTTAAGCCCTTTTTGTTTTCAAAAAAAAAAAGAAAAGATTTAAGCCTTTTGTTTTGGGCTAAATTATGTTAATATTTGGTACGGTTCTCATTTCATTTTTATTTTTTTTCTAGAAATAAATTTGTGTTTGTTATATTTTGCAAAAAAATATCTCAATTTAATTTCAACAGTTTCTACTAAAATACATTTTTCAACAACTTTAAATATGATCTGATTGCCACTGTAAGTTTTATTTCTTATTAAATTATAAACAAACATTACTTTCATTCTCAAATTATTTTCTCACAACAATACTACTCAAAAAATAAATTAAAAATACTACAACAAAGAAAACATTTACAAAAAAAAAATATTCAAAGAATTATTTAAGCATAAAATAAAATAAAATAAAATAAGAATTTCTTTAATTTCTGACCCAGATTCAACACAATTGCAGTGGTCCTATATATACTTCTATTTGCTATTCTCGAGACCCAAAACTCTTTTTTTTTTTTTTTTTCTCAAAATTATAAAACATGATTTAAGAAATGGATCCTCCATAGCCATTGTTTCCCACTCGGACTCTCATCTCTCCCCTATAAATAGCTACAATTTCTGAACCGAATTACATGTACGTAGCTGTGGTGGGTTTTCCTTCACAATTTCTTACCCCCTTTTTTTTTTTTTGTTTTTTTCCCCCCTTTTTTCTCATATTCAACCCAGAAATTTATTAATTTATGATTCCTCTGTACCGGTGGTGAATGTCTGAGCAATCGGCATGTTAAAGGCGCGTTCTTGGCTCGCAATTTCGTCCAACACTAACCTAATTCGTCGATTCCACAATTTGGGGCTTTTTTTCATGGCGAATTTTATGTTGGGGCAAACAGATTTCCAGATGTTGCCGCTCAGAAGGTTTAATACCGCCACTTCACCACTGATTCATATAACTAAACGAAGGCTACCACCCCCAAATCGATTTAGGTTTAGGGGCTGCTGCTCCGATAACCACGGCAATAATTTCAGTAGTGATCGTGTTAGTTGCAATGATGTACAGAAAGTGAGGGCGTCTCCTAGTTGGGCCCCGCAGTTACTCCGTCCTTCTGACGAGGTTTTTGTCAATGGCGGTGGTGCCGCTAATCGAGGAAACTTTGCCGGAGGTGTGGACCAGTCCTCCCCGCAGAAAGTCATGCTCGCCGTTGATGTTGATGAGGGTAATCTGATTTTACTTGTTACAGAATCGATTTTGTGGTTTTTCGATTGTTGGTTAAGAGGCATATTATTATTATCTGATCATGGTTAACTACCAAATATTTCGGTTTGCATTTTGCAATTGTCGTAAATTTGTCGATATCGGTTTTGTTTTTTGTATTCGTCAAGCGGCTATTTCGGTCCTTTACGCTTCCTTTTCGGTCAAATTGCGTAATGTACGTTGGGCTTGACTTGCTAAAATTGAGTTGATAGCGATGACTCGTCTTGTATTGTGTTCATGAATGTTAAGATATGAGTTTCGACGATCACTTTCTTGTTTTAATCAGTTGACTTTGTTGGCAGTTCTTGGGAACTTCGTATCAGCTCTGAATAAGTTCATCGCAGATCGCTACTCTCAAAACCACTCGGTTTCTGAGTACCATGTTTATGAATTTTTCAAGGTACTGTTTGATAGTTTTTAACGACATTTGCAAGTAATGCTATGAGTACCATGTTTAAGAAAACGGTATGTGATGCGTCTAAAACTCGTGATTACTTCTTATTCCTCCAATAGAAAATGCTTGGTGTTGAAGGCTGAAGAATGCTCTCGATCTGAAATCTTAAAAGTTTAAAATCGATAAACTACAATTATTTATAAAATCATATTTAAGATAGATTGCTCTCATGTGTTTTCTGATTCACTTTTCATTTTCTTGCAGATATGGAACTGTTCGCGTGATGAAGGTATCTATACATATGCTCTAACTTGGCTGTCTAGGCATTTGCAGACAAATTTATGTTATTCATTCTATTTATACCATGAAGCAATATATAACTATTATCTTCTTTTGTTTTCACATTGAAAAAAAACCGAATATTGGCTTCAACATTCATGCACCTGCATCTGTCACTGCATCTGTGTCTCTGACCTTTTAGCCAATTGTAAATAGGTGATTGTCTGTAAAAGGTCAAACAAGAGACTTTTTACCGTAACTTGCACTCCTAGAACATAATGTTTAGATTCATTATAAATGTATTAGGTGTTAATACGAGGTGTGTATAACGCGGTGTGTTTTCTTGCATCCCATGATTTTTTTAAAAATCACATCATGAATGAAAAAAATAAAAATTGTTTTCTTTTCGCAGCTGATGTTCGTGTACATGAGTTCTTTAAGACACATTATTTCAAGAAAGGGATACATCCACTTCCGGGTGCTCAAAAGGCTATTCAAAATTTGTCCAAACTCTACGACTTGTCCATTGTTACGTATGTCTTCTAGCACCCTTTCGATCTACTTCCGTTCTTTGTTAGGCCTAGATAATAATAGTAGCTTGTCTTTTATACTATGTAGGTCCCGCCAAAACGTGATCAAAGATCACACAATTGAATGGATCGAAAAACATTATCCCGGTCTCTTTCAGGAGATCCATTTTGGCAACCACTTTGCTTTAGATGGACTTTCCAGATCTAAATCAGAGATTTGCAAGTAAGTATTATTGAACTCTTCGTTTGTCGCTTATTTTGGTTGGTTTAATAAGTTATTTTGTTTTTTGTAGGTTATTGGGGGCAAAAGTATTGATTGATGATAATCCGAGATATGCAATTGAGTGTGCAGAAGTTGGGATAAAGGTTCTTCTTTTCGATTACGAGAATTCGTATCCTTGGTGCAAGACTGAGCATATTCCTCAGCATCATTCTCTTATTACCAAGGTACACAGTTGGGAAGAGGTACAACATCAATTGTCCTTATCGGCGGTCTCCTAAGGATCGTAAAAAATTGCAAAATTGCAGCTAGAGGAATATTTTTTTGCTGCAAAAATATTCAACAGTTCGTTACTAGCAGATTTATTTTGTTTACTATCCCCTTCCCTTAGTCTTTATGTTGGGGAATCGAGTGATGGGATTAGAGTTGCAATTTGATAATTTTTTTTCTTTGTTTTCTTCGTCTGAGGAGTTGCATTTTCTCCAAACTTGCTATTTTTTTTAAGCCGAAGGGCTTGTAAAAGTAAAATTAGAATTGCCGGTCTCGATATAAACGAACGCGTGCATTCTTGGAGTAGGTACATTATTTATTTATTCTTGATATAAACTGGTTTATTTATTCACAAGTCTAGTATTTTATCGATTCTTAAACATGATAAATAAATGTTGAATCGAATCTCCAACTTTAATCGATCTTCTCCAGCATCTTGAAACCGTATGCTTCTAGAATATCCAGTGCTGCAAAACAAGAACACATCTTCCTTTGAGCCCTCCCTTTTCTTGATTTAGAACAATAAATATCAATATGTAGAGAGAAGTAGAAGAAGAAGAAGGGATCACCTGGTTCGTAAATTTCCGGATGTATAGGCCTTAAAACACCCTTCGTTTTGATGTTTTCCCCGATTAAGAGCTGAAAAAATATATATATATAAAGCACCATTAATTTAATTTCCGATTTTTTTTAAAAAAAAAACAGAAAAGCAAACAAGAAAATATGTATATACAAGTACCAGAGCTCCAATGGCAGCAGGAATTCCGACTGTTAAAGCCATTGCGGTGTATTGTCTCTCTCCATCGATCCTTCCGAATTCCAATAGTGTTGCTCTGTGGTTTTCGTTAGGTTGGCCATTCGGAAATTCCACTTCCACCTCGTGGTGTAGAAGCACCATGTCCTAAAAACAAATTAATAAATAAATAAAATGTTTCAAATATGTTTCGAAAAGAACAAAGATTTTAACTCAAGTAACCTTTTCAGTGCCGGAATACGCCAGCCTTTCTTCCATTCGGAGGCACGTAACATCGAATGCAGATTTGCACGATTTTGAGATTTCTGCCTTCTCTTCGAATCCCAAAAATCTAATTGAAGTTTACGCGTAAGAAATATATTCCACAAAAATAAAATGATCTTAAATGAATGTGTGTGTGTATTTATATATTCAAACTCACATAATAGTTTTGGCAGTCATATATTCCACAAAAATAAAATGATCTTAAATGAATGTGTGTGTGTATTTATATATTCAAACTCACATAATAGTTTTGGCAGTCTTGAGCGACGTTTCTTTGTCTTTGCATAGACCAAGGCCAAGAATCCGATCCGCAATCCATTTCTGGGTTATGATTGGTTCTTCAATGCCGTTAGTACTATTGCAATCGAGAAGTGATAGTAAGAAGGTTCTATAAGTTGTCCTCGTCTCGTTTTTTAGAATTGGGATTTCTTCGGTATTGAAGAACCCAATTCTTGCTAGTGTGCCCATTATTTCTCCAAAACCTGCAAAAAAAAGAATAAAAAAAGATCAATCAAGAAACTCAAATTAAAAAAAAATGCGTATTGTAATTATAGAAATATAAAGGAAAAGAAATATATTGCCTTCGTATCTGAGGGTCCCACGGAAGATAGTCGATGCTTCACTTTTAATTCCATAAAGGTCTCCGTAAACCAAAGAATCTCGATTTGGAAGACATTCCAATGCAAAAGCTGGAAAATATGGTATCCTAAGTTTTGAAGCTGAATCATAAAGCTTGTCCCCTGCATTTAAACGTAAAAACTAATTTATTAAAAAAAAAAAATGGAGAAAAATTGATGTACTTATGAAGATATTGTAATGGGGTTCGAATATTGATTTATTTATCAATTAATAACAAGAGAGTAGTGTAAATGTATAATGATTGTCACGACTCACCATCAACATGCACGATTTCTCCATTATATTTATATACGGCTGGATTTCGCCCAGCTCGTATAGCGCCAGCTGGACTCCAACTGAAAACGTAATACGAAATATACGCATGAATGTTACATCATGCATGAAATAAAATAGAAATTTAAAAAAGGAAATTCATACCTGAATTTATAAGCCAGTGTATTGTTTGCAGCATCTGGAGCCGGAAGACCGCCACAATACGAAGTGAAAGATTTGATTTTACCCCCTCGTTTACGGGCTTCATCGATCATCTTCATTGCCATCATATGATCTGAATTTATTTATTTAAAAAAAAAAAAGGGGGGTTCATTATTAAAATAAAATTTAACTTATTCATTATTACAACTAGAAGCAGTAAAAAATATATTACCGATTCCAGGGTCCAATCCCATCTCACAAAGAATTGTAATACCCGAACTTTTTGCCGATTCGTCCAGCTTGGACATGGAATCATCCACGTAGCTAGCCGTGACAAGATGTTTCTTAAACTGAAACACGACGAGGCAAGAATATTATTACATGGTAAAAGAGGTAGAAATAATTCAAAATTGTATTATTGCCGATTATTTTCTATTGCCTAAAGACAAGTTTCCTCGTCCAAATAAATGCTTCATGTGATTCACAAAAAACAAAAAAAAAAAAGAAAGAAAAAAAAATATGGACCTGAATACATGCACTTGCTATGATACTGTGGCAACTAGGTGGCAGTAAGCTGATCACCACATCAACCTGTAATAAAATTCAGAAAACAAATTTACTAAAACAGCATCTTGAATTTCTTTCCTTTTTTTTTAACTATAAAATATCCTTCAATTTTAGATAATTGTGATAATATTTCGACTTTCGTACATAGAATTACCTTTGAAATGTAATTACAGAGATGTTCCTTATTCGTAATATCAAGCTGAACTGCAGTTGCATACGGAATTCCTTCAACAATCTGCTCCACATTACAAAAAAAAAAAAAAAAAAAAAAAAAAAAAAAACGAGATCACGCCTTACTTTTTCCTCGTCATTACAAAAAAAAGAAAAATCGAAAATTCAATGTATAATCAGACTAACTAACCTCTTCTGCATCTTTCAAGAAAAGAGAAGCAACAATAACACGAACACAAGTCTTCTCATTCGAATCATTCGTCACGTACAAATTCAGACATTTTTTCGATGTTAGAAATTCGACAGCTGGCCGACAAACTCGTCCAGCACCTAATATTAAGACATATGCTTCTCTTTTCACCTCGTTTTCGTTCTCCATATCCGTTTCTTCGAATTTTTTAACCTTGAGCGATATGGTGTTGTCTTTACTGTTGACTTGGTCTTCGCTTGGATTAGCAAGCGAAGTCAGAGAATCGATAATCTTATCTAGGATTGATTTATCATCTGCACCAATCTGTTTGATATAACAGGAAAATGATCGTAAAATCGAGAATTTTTTGGAATAGAAATAATCCGCCGAATAATGTAATGAAAGTCAACTTACTTCGAGTTCTGAGTAAGACGTAGCGTCTGTTCTTTGACCGACTTGACATTTGACCAAATGGAAGGAGCCACCTGCTGCTTCGATGATATCCAAAGCCTCGTTTATTAGAAACCGATCGAACAAATGTCCACTTAAAGAAATCTGCAGGAAAATGAAATACGTAAATTAGAAATCAATTAAAAAACGATTAGGACACGTGCATAACGGAGAGAAGATGTACCAGAGTCGTGTATTTCATTTTTGCAGGCTGCAACGGTTGGAGAATTTGTGAAGAATCTCTGCCAAAAGAAAAAAAAGATAACTAAACCCGCGACTTTTTTTTAAATAACAATGTAAGAGGATAAAAATTTGCAATAACTAAAGTAATTCAAATTTTCGAAAAACGAAGTGATTAAAAATTAAAACTTTAAAATTATCAACTAAAAAACTTACTCAATATCGGAGCTTCTCATTCTAGGAATGTATTCGAACAAGGAGGTAAGAGCTCCAGCATGGACTATGCAAGCTCTCCTTAAATGTGCAGGCAAGTTTTCGAGACTTGTTGAAGAAGCTAAAATTCCGATAAATTGCGATAGAATATCACCGAAATGTTGAGAAGCCTACATTAAAACATAATATTATAATAATATTTTTAAAAAGATAGAGAACAAAATAAAATAGGATAGGTTAATTTCACCTCTCTTGCGAACTCGGTTGGAAGAATGTCGACAGCTGAACAGATAACGCCGTCACCCTCCATGTCATTATGGTACGAGTTGTCGTGAGAATCGTATCTAGACACCATTTTCACCAAATTTTAATAACAGAAATATTAAAAAAATAAATAATAAAAATAAAATAAAAATTTGCATGATTAGATGTAGACTCGTGCAAGAATCTCCCGAAGAAAATAAAAATGAAAAAAATAAAAATTCAATCTTGAAATCTATGAATAGATGCATGCAAGTATGCAACACTAGTTTTAAAAAAAAATTAAAAATAATTTACCTAATGAAAGGTGAGTCGATAGTAGTGGTTTGATTTACGAATTCAATTGAGCCACCTACATCACAAGTTATATCGGAAATTCCGACAAGTGGGCATCCTTTTTTCATCAGCTCTTGCAGCTGCATTGTAGTCAATAACCTCGGAAATCTTTTTTCCCAATACATACAATTCACTGCAACCAAAAAAAATTAAACGGGCCCCGGTTATTCTTTTTAACATTTATTTTTGCCAAAAAAAAATCAAAGGGCATCTTCGAAAGGTATTAAAGGAGACTGACCTATAACAGATGTCAACGGGGCTATCTTTTCGTGAAATACGGGCTTGTAGTTTTCTGGATGTGCGTAATAATCAGCCTGGTAAGAAAACAAAAATATGCTTCATTCAAGATTTGTATACGAAAAAAAAATTCAGATAAAAAAATGATTATTATTTTCGTCATAAACAGAATCGAAGAATGGTCACCTTATCGAAGAATTTGGAAGGGTCTTTATGTTCGACCATGTGTTTACTGGTTACAACACAACCGTATACTTGAAATACTCGTTTTGAAGTTCTTCCTACTTGGTTATGATCTTTGGCCTAGTAAATTGAATAATTTATTTATAACATGGGAAAAAAAATATATACGTGCGTGAACCAAATAAGCGGTCTTGAGTAAGAATCGAATTGAATTACCATCTCCAATAAATCTGGAAGTTTACTCAATTCCACGAAAGTGTGCGGAAGAAGCTTGAATATTTCCCGTGCTCCTTGAGAAACTGCATAAATATATAAGATAGCAAAAATTAAGCATTTTCATGTGACGAAAAAATCGATAAATATATGAAGCATCATAGTCTTGTTTTCGGTTGATCGTACCATTTCCTGTACCGGTAAAAACGAAAACTAATGGACATATGCTTGATGGAAGTCCCATTGTAGCGATTTCTTCTCCCACTGAAATGATTGCAGCTTTCGCCATAGCCAACGAAGAATACATATACGATGCACCCAGAGAGAGAAACGGTGTCGAATATCCAAGATTAAGATACCCTGAAAAATGAAAAAAAAATTGAATTCTTACGAAAAAAATAAATAAAAGAATTTCAAACAAATATTAGGATACAAGAATCTAAAAAAGCGTACTCTGTCCTAAACCAGACAAGAAATCAATCATTCCAGCTCTTCCAGCGAATTTTCCGAACGCTAATAATCTTTTACCGTGATCTCCACTTATAAGCTCGTAATCGAACAAAGTAGCTCTTTCGGATAAAATCTAAACGACACAAAATGTTAAAACTAAAAAAAATTAAAGGTATGTCGAAAATATTTTCTTGATGGAAAAGCACACACACCTTATCAAGAAGGGGCATATTTTCTTTTTGCGCCTTGTGAGTGTGCGAGAAAAACGCGTACGCCCTATCAGGAAGTATCATCTCCAACTACAGAAAAATAAAAAATAAAATTATTTATTTTTTTCTTCCTATTTTTCGACATGAAAGTTAAGAATGAAAGTTAAGAACGAAGAGAAAGGAAAATTTTCGATATAATTGTTACCTGCGGTTGTTTGATACCGACAATGAGGCCACATTCGGATAAGTCTTGTGATATCTCACAGCCAACATCCTCGTACAGTTGGTCATGGTGAATGCGCTTTGTCGATGGCTGTACAATGATGCGAGAAACTCCGGTTTTGCCACTGCCACCGTGGAGTAGCCTCGCGCAGTGTGCGGGGGTGAGTGGGGCCCGCCTCTCCCACTTGTTAGTGGATTCTGAGAGGATTCCAACAACTCCGTTTCCAAGCATTGCTTGTCCGATACCTTGTGTTCGGACTAAAAAAAAATGCAAACTGTTTGTTAACTTAACTATAAAGTAAATACGAAATCTCACAACAGAGGATTAATTTTGCTCATACATTTTAATTTCTTGTTTTACTTCACTCACAAGTCACAACCACTAATCGCCCCGAAACTTATTGAAAGAAAAAAAAACACTCTGCACCTCCACAAATCGAGACTCGGATTCGACATACTTACAACTACGATCACAAAATTAACCAAAAAAAAAAAAAATAGCAGAAATTATATGTGATTTATAATTATTTACAAGATTCGTCCATTACACAAAAACATGCATGATGAAATCAACTAATCAAGAACTGCAAGAGAACCGAACACCATCATACAACGACTGTAATATAATCAGTTGTAATTAATAGCAAAATGAACCAGTCAATTACGCATGCATGGACACAAAGAAAGAACAATCAAGAAACATCAACATTAAAAAAAAAAAAAAAAAAAAGATCTAAAATAAATTAATTACAGGCTAAATTTATGTTCAGACAGTGGGCATTTCCGAACACAGAGTTATTTCCCCAATGTTCTCTTCAGATGATCGGACAACATCAACACATAACAAACACTGTCAAGAAATTCAAAGAGGATCCCACATAAAAAACTAAAAATAAATAAAAAAAAGAAACACATTTAACAGAGAATTCCTTACATTTACAGACGTAAAGATCACGGGGGCAGGAAGCGAAACCAGCCTTTTCTTCTCGTACAAATCGCCCCACCTTTTGAAAAAGTGAAACCCCCTTTTGAGCCTCGATCACAAACTCCAAGAATTGTGTTGTGCTCTGTAAAAATGTCGGAGTGCACACGTGGTGTTCTACAAAATGTCTGAATCAATCACTTCTTTACTATGACAAACCAAACACACAAGGAAAGAGAGCTTTATTGGAAAGTTAAAACAAGTGAAACGTGATTCACATTAATATTATTATGTACAATTAAAGAATCAACCTAAATTCTTGAGCTTATCAGAAAACCGAAATCCAACCAACTATGGCATGTTATATAATGTGTGTGTATGTGTATGTATAGGTGAAAAGATGAGGAACAAAAGAACCGTTGGTTGAGTGGAGCACGGAACCGGGTTTGCCCATTTACAAACGGGTAGTATTATATTTGTAAGAGAATTCAGATGGATACATCACGTGACGTGGCATGTTGGGAAATGGATGTCTTCGACCAACCACTTTTTTTGAAAGCTCTCTTCTTGTCTTAACATGCATTTATTATTTTTATTTATTTTAATACTTTTGGGCTTCTTAGGATAATCACTAATTTTTATATGGTAAATCTCTTTTGGCTAGTTTTATATATTGGGCAGTCCCGGTGTTATACTTTAGACACTGTATTCCCCTTTTTAAGTTTTACATACAGTTAGCTCCTTAACTCATTTAAATGTCTAGAATGCCTTTCTTTTCCACTTTAAAAAAAAGGGCATATTACAAATAAGCCCATCAGTGGGAACTTATTCATAAAGAGATCCAGACAATATTCTCCTTTACCAATAAGTCCACACATGGTCCAGATTTATGTAAAGGACTAAAATAACCCCTCTTACTTTAATATGCTCCAATTTCATCCTTAACTTACTTTAACTTCAATTTGACCCCAAATTTCACAAATTATTCAATTTTGACCCAAAACTTTTTTTTTTTCACAAATTTTTTTTTTTCAAAAACTTTTTTTCCGCCGGATTCCGGCGTTGACCGGCGGTCAACGCAGGTCTCCGGCGTTGACCTTTTTTTTTTTTTTTTTTTTTTTTTTTTTTTTTTTCTTCCGGATTTTTTTTTCCCGGATTCCGGCGTTGACTTTTTTTTTTTTTTTTTATTTTTTTCTTTTTTTTTTTTCTTCCGGATTTTTTTTCCGGATTCCGGCGTTGACCGGCGGTAAACACCGGTCTCCGGCGTTGACTTTTTTTAATTTTTTTTATTTTATTTTTTTTTTAATTTTTTTTTTCTGTAACTTTTTTTTCCGTTTAAACAACAATATTGCTTTGAATGACAGTAATATTAACTATATTACTGTTAAACACAGTAAAAATAACGAAACTATAGTTTAACACAGTGATATTGCTATATTAATCTCTAGCACATTAATATTAACACAACAAAATTCATTATTATTGTATAATAAAGTAATATTACTATGTTGTCCGTTCAACAAATGTAAACAAAATAAAAAAAACCAAAAGAATTAATATTACTGTGAGTGACAGTAATATTACTATAGCAACAGTAATATTACAATAGTAGACAGTAATATTATTACGTTACTCCGTGAATAACTCAAACAAACAAAATATCCAAACAAAAGAATAATATTGATGTGGTTGACATGAATATTACTATAACAAACAGTAATATTACCGTCAACCACAGTAATATTATTGTGTTTACAGTAATATTACAATAATAGACAGTAATATTAATACAAACACCACAAAAAAATAATAATATTGATGTTGTTGACAGTAATATTATTGTGTTTACAGTTATTTTACTGTCAACGACAGTAATATAATTACGTTGACTTGTCAACAAATCAAAAAAAAATAAAAAAAAATAATAATAAATAAAAAAATATAATATTGCATTAATTTACTGTCAACGGCAACACAATTACATAAATGTAATGTCAACGGCAGTACAATTACGTTAATTAACTATCATTGACAGTATAATTACGTTAATTTACTGTCAGTGACAGCACAATTACGGTCAACGTTTAGCGGCGGACGTGGAAAAACAAAACAAACCAAACAAAACAAAACAAAAAACTTAAAAAAACACTAAAAAAAACACTAAAAAAATTTTTGGGTCAAAATTTAATAATTTGTGAAATTTGGGGTCAAATTGAGATTAAATTAAGTTAAGGATGAAATTGGAGCATATTAAATTATACTCCAAAAAAAAGTCAAAATTGAATTTTTGTGGTCAAAATTGAACTTTTATGGACAAAATTGATTAATTTGGATTACAATTAAGAATTGGGTATAAATGGTTGAGGGTAATATTGGGATATACATGAATGTTTCCTTTAGTTATAATAAATATTAAAGGGATGGGCTTATTGGTAAAAGAGATATGTCCCCTAAACCTAGAATAATAAACATGCTTGGTTGGGGACTTTTGCATAAAAATCCCTAAAAAAAATGCTACTGCTCGGTCATAAAGACGTGTTCTGACCGAACATGTTTTTAATAATATTTATTTATTTCACCAAAACGTTTTTTAATATTTGTTTAAAAGGGCGTTCAAGACATTTTGGATGGATAAAAAGCTAACTGTAAGCAAAACTTAAAACGAGTGAGCGCAGTATAGAAAGTATTGAGGACTTTGTCCGGTAAATGAAACTAACCAAAACGAATTGATGATCTAAAACTTACATTAAAATTAATTTTAATTTATATATCATTTTTTTCACGATCTTAGTCCTCAAACAAATCACTATTTTGCAAATTTGCAATTTCGATTCACGGGATGATTTGAGAGTTATCTTTTACGGATAAAGCACGTGTAAAGTAATCCACTCAATCCTCTTTATTGCCTCTATTATTAATTTAAGCCTCAAATTCATTTTATAACAATAATTCATCCCAAAAAACATGAAATCCCATTAAATTTGTCACATTGTAAGGCACTAATTGAAATGTTAGAAAATGTATATGAAATAAAAATAAGATAATAAAGACAAAAATGACAAGAAAATAGAAGATGAAATGGGATGGGATGAACTCTGTACACCTACTATATTGGATGTTAGAACGACTTTGATGTGACGTGGAACAAATTTAATTAAGATAATAAATACACGTCATCGATATACAATAGTATTTTATTACACTTGAAATTGAAGGTAGTCCTTGTTTGAGGGATTCTTATTACCTAACTTCTCTATCTATAGGGATGATGTAGACCAAAAATAATCAGAGATTTATTGGATGTTGTTACATTGGATGAAGTATATCAACAAATAATTTATTATATACCAAACTCATGCAACGTGTGCACCTATGTAGCAACGAAACGAAAACGACGAAATGGGAGGAAAAACGGACAACGGGAAACGGTATGTCCCAAAAATGGGGATTCGATAAATTGGGGGAAACGTATAAATATTAAAAGTGGAAATGTATATTTATAAACATGCTATATAAACATATCTAAGTTTTCATTTATATATAATATAATTTTGTATATTTTTGTACAAATATATTAAACATAATTATTATTATCAACTATTAATTTTACAATTAAATAATTAGGGAAGCAAATTCAGACATGTTTCTAACTTTTTAAAATTTTGCAAAATGGCCCATAAAATTGCCCGTCATATATAATTGAGTGTCGACAACAAACATATCCGAAATACGGATATGTTAACAATTTGAAATTTCCGTGCTACATAAATGTGCACGATCGTGTAATTTATGGGATGTAAATTATATAATTTAGGACTAGTCAATTCCTATTGTAAAATAAATAAATTAACAAGTAATGAAAACTCGGAATATTCTCTCCCAGGCCCATATAAAAAAGTTAAAATAATTTAGCAGGCTCACAAATAGCAAAGGTTGGTTCACTCAAAGAAGCCCATTCATTATATACATCCAATAGTAGAGGCTGGCTTTATTGAGAGAAGCCCACTTTATCCAATTTTTACTTTAATTGACTCATTTTACTACGGCTTAATTCCACTTTGCACCCTTGAAATATACCATTTTGGCACTTTGCACCCTCGAAAAATAATAATAGCACTTTGCACCCTCAAAACACAATAAATCATTCACAATGCACCCTCAATTGAATAATAAAAGCAATTTTATTTTTCATTGGTGTTTTTCTTTTTGGGGTACAAAATAAAAAAAATTGTTGTTTTCTTGAACCTCAAACCTAATTTCGAGCGGACAAAGTGCGAAAAAATAAAAATTACACCGGATTATTTAAAAAAAAACTACATTATCTTAAAAAAGAAAAATAAAAAAAATAATCTTTTATCACTAAATTATTCGATTGTGGATCTTTTATGTCACTGTTTGTAAAACATTAGGTGAAAATATTTGGAAGAAAAAATAATTTTCAGATAACTTGATAACGTAATAGCTGAATGATTTTTTTTCGTAAAATATTTTATTTTGATAAAACAATATAATTTTTAAATATGTTGATGGAATGTATTTTTATTTATGAACTTTATAGTTTCAAAATGATTGATGAATAAAAAAAATATTTGACATTTGGCATCCTAAAAAAATATCACTACAAATATTAAATTTATATTTTTTAGCTTTAAAAAATCATTTGGGGTGCATTATGCATGATTTATTGTATTTCGAGGGTGCAAAGTGCTATTAATTTATTTCGAGGGTGCAAAGTGCCAAAATGGTATATTTCAAGGGTGCAGAGTGGAATTAAGCCTTTTACTACGAGTGTGAAATGTGAATTACTCCGATTAAGGCTGCAAGCGGATGGAATACATCGAAATTAATATTTTTGATTTTCTTTTCAAAGTACAAAAGCAATTTCAATTTCACTTTCTAATTTTTGGAATCTAAAAATTCATTTTGATTCTAAAATTTACGGGAATTTCGGGATTTCGAAATCACATTAATTCTAAACTTTCAAAACATTTCGAAAAATTTCAGTAGCTTTCATAAATTTAAAAAAAAAAAAAAAAGAACATCCACTTTGATAAAACCTATTAAGTTTCAATTCATTAAAAAAAAAAAAAAAAAAACCATTTTGATAGAAATGATTCAATGAAACTTTGACCCTCCAACGTGACCCATAATATAAAATATTTAATTTATTTTGCATTAAATAAAATAATAATATATAAGGCATATTGTTTATAGGTGTTTTTTTGGGTAACAAATCAAAATTTCGGAAAATAAATTGGATCCAAAATTAGAAAATTTTATTTTTTTTATTATATAATTTTAATTTCAATAATAGAAAGAAATACAACAAATTCAAAAATCTTTCGAAAGTCGGAACCAGCGGTAATTGGAAACTAATTCCAACTTTCACCCCAATTTTAATTGTAATATTTAATTTTTTTTGAGTAAATTCAAGTCCATCACAAGGGGAAGTAGGGGAGCCTGAGAGGGGGAA